CCAATTACACATGCGAACATATTGGAGTATCAAGCAGAACTGATAAAAAATTATCAAATCCACCAGACTCCACAAGCTGCACACATAGTGAAAACACTAACCACCCCATCTTGATTACAAATTTCAAAGTCATCTCATCTGGATGAACTCCCAACTTTAAATAATAACACAACTTCACTACAATTAAGTCTGTTTAAAATACTTGTATAATATTGTTGCATTATTCTATTCTCTGTTTATTTGATTCTCTTTTAATTGATTTCGTGTTTCTATTCTTTATTATAATTACTTTTTATAGTTTAAACTTTATAATTTACCATGTTCAATATAGCTTGCTTAAGATGGAATATGTATATTCCGAAATGTTCAAGAATTAAATGTTTGTTACTAAATATACACATGTCAAATGTTCATTGTTGTTGCCATCATTCTGTTGTTTGTCATGAAACTTCTATTGATTCACATCTGCTGGACACACATTAGTCTGAAGAAATTTTGGGGATGCTATAGACCAATTGTATTTAAATCCAACTGCCAATAACATAAGTTTTGGAGTTGTGGTTTTGTATGTATTTGGTATAGAGGCAAAAATGACTTTTGCATTAGATCCAGGTCATGGTAAGTTCAAGGGGTACATATTCATTCTGCAGGCCAACTTTTTGCATTTATTTCTTCAAGGATTTATGAACCATACATGCAATACTCTGACAGAAGACAGAGTGACATGCCACACCTCCATAACCACCACAACTTGGAAGGTACAAAATAGACTTTAGATGTTACTTTGGCTGTCACAAAGTCCTCATTTGGACTCTTTAAACATATATTGGAGCACCTTGATAGGCAACTTACACAACCATTATCCCAGCAACCATTTCAGGATTAGTTGCTTAATCTGTGGGAAAACCATGGCACAATATAAAATGTGACTGATTTCGTACCTAAATGACTACAAGCTCTTTGAGATTCGGAAGGTTCTTATACTAGATACAGAACATCTTATTATATGTATGCCTTTATGTTTCATTATTAGTACTTTTCTTATCATTTTAAATGTACCAAATTTAGTGTTCAAATTATTATGACATCTCTTTAAATCAGCAATATAAGTTGATTTTTCTCTCTTGTCTTCTGTCTCACATTAACATGCATAGTTAGTTAGTTCAATACCATACCCATATTTTACTTTAATTCCTGTAACCCTCAGCATTTGAACTTTACTTAAAGATGACCTCTATGATGGTTGAAAGCTTACACAGAAGCTCTTTTTAATTGTGAATCAGTTGTCATCACCATTGTTTTTTTCCTGAGGCCCCTTTTTCGTAACTTTTAAATTTGATACTATTTTTTATAGGTTAGTATTTTCCAACCATATAAAATATTTCACACACACACTCCAGAATTGTTTTAAACATCAAGGTGTTTATCTTTTTCATGTAGCATTTTAATAGTGCCATTAGCTATGAGCTTCTTAAAGTTGTCCTCTGGCCACTTTGATTCATAATTCATCACTGTCATGTAAATACATTTTAGAACTTTAACTTGCCATATACTGTGCCATGCCAGTTGATAATCCACATATTTACAGTTCCTACAACCATCATTACACAGGACCTTTTTACAAAGCTTTGTTCCTTCAAAGATGATGGGCTTTATACCCCTGAATTTTCTGTAGCTATTCATCTTTCAGAATTTCAAAAGTTGAATTATCTTATTATTGCATAATCAGTTCAGAGGGAAAAACTGTGCCCATAGAAAAGTGGTAAAAATGGCTCAGACTTAAAATAACCATCCCACTGAAACTCTTCGTAATAAAGACATGACAATAAGAATGGATTATGGAATACATAGAAGAGACATAAATAAAGGATGTAAGGACAAAGTGGCATACAGAAAATTTGCTAAATACACAACATGCTATGGACATTAAGTACAGTATGAAGAAGTGTATAGAATCTTAAGAATAAATGAAACCAGGACAATGTGTGTGGTTCAGAACTGCAAATACCATTTAACCACCAGCTTTGTCACCTTTAGGATGATGATAATTCTGAGCAAACCTACACAGATTTTTAGTATTCTTTTGAGGGATATCAACAAATTTGCATCTGAGAAGATAAATCCAGCTTGTGACAAAATGAAAATGAACATGATGCTAATGCTGAATAGTTGGCAGTCTGTTATCATAAATATACCTCTCCACAACTTAGAACATGGATCTATCTATATTCATAATGTTTTTTAGAATTTCAGTATAGGTTTCTGTATTTATTAGAAGCTCTGGACAAACAGGACGTATTAACCTTTACCTACTTTACTCTTGGTTTCTGAGTTTGCTTCCCCATTGTCATAGGTGTAAGCCAAGAACTTGTCTCTCCTAGTACTTTACCAATTTTAGTTGGATAACACAGGCCTACAAACTTAAACTTCATAAAAGTTGTTTTGGTTTTAATGATAGATTTTCCATAATTCAGTTACCCAGATTTCGAAAATAATATTCAATTTTTTCTATCACGTAAGGATTTTTTACAAATTGGGAAGAAAAAAATACTTACTTAGATCAAATTATTATTTAGTTTTCCGCAATGAACATTTTTTATTACTATGTTTGTTAACAAAAATACAAACAAACTGAAGAAAAAGGAAGAACACCGATGTCAAACAAATAGGCATTCTCATTCATTCTGATTTTTTTTGTGAAATCTACATCTTTTCGTCTCAAAAATACGTGTTATGGTCTTTCTTTTATATATTGTGTTATGATGTTTTGTGAAAAATCTGTGTACAGGAATTACTGTCGAACATGTAAAAATTTCAATACAATAAAGCCAGAACAAGATAGATAAATTTTAAACTCTGGTTTTCCTCTTCTGCTAATGATGTTTATCTGGTGACATGAAATTTTGAGAAGTTTTTATGATCTTAGGATTGAATATAATTCTAAACAAAGTTAACTCAACAATTGATGTTATTTAGAAAGGTCCACATATTGTGGTAATGAGGATCAGTGAAGTAATAATGTACAGATCAGTCATTTCAAGTTGAATTTTTTTTCAACATTACTTCTTGTGGAAATTCTATTGTGAAAAAAAACCAAAGCTTATTAGTTACCTATAGAAGTGGTCAAACAAGACAGAATTCTTGAAATAATGAGACAACTAATGAAGAAGAACAGACCCCAGGTGGGGCCTGTGATAGCCCAATCATTAAGTATTACAACCTAAAGAGAAACAGACCAGTAGATATAATTACCTTTATCTATGATCATTGATAAAACTTGAGAAGTTATGAACTTAGGCTGTATAGGTTTGTGTGCACTTGTAAATTGAGTAAGTTTTAGTGACTTAAAACAGTATTTGTAAATCAAGAGAATTTCAGTAATTAATAATGTCTTGCTTATTCCATGGATTCTCTTATCAATATCATTTTACTCAGAGTTTAAATTACATAGTGTATTAGACTACTGTTTTACTATTTAGATACCATTTAGGCTTAGTGAAGACCAGAACCCTACAATCAATTTACAGTTGTACCTCACTGTAAACAAGTTATAAATGAGATTAAACAATTAGAACTGTTTCTTGAGGTCGGATTATCTGTTGGATAGTGGAAATTGGTATATTGTTACAGTTTACCTACTTATGTCAGATTTTAGGTATTTGTACGTGTTTCCTGATAAATCAAGCTCTTATTAATTAAAACATTAAAACGATCAACAATTTAAATACGTTGATCATTTAAGGGTTTTAATTATTTATTTGTACAAATACGTTGAATGTTTAGCCTTTTAATATCAAGTTCTTATTTATCAACAAGTGTGTACTATAGCTAAGTAACTACCACAAAAAAATATCATTTGGAAGTCCAGGACATATCTTTTATATGGGTTGAAGAAATATTTTTTCTATATTTTTATATCAGTTTTAACTTGGCCAATTGGATACCGAGTTGCTCCTTCGACATTATATGTTCAACATAGCTCTCAGTGTAGTGTAATTTATTTCATTTATCAGTAGTGGATATGACTTTTGTTTGTGTTTATTGCTCTGCATCCCACTGTGAAAACACTTGAATAGATTATATGGAAGAGGGAGAAATTATGCCACATTTTTATCTAATTAATTAAATTTATTATGGTGGGTTTCAAATTATGATGTTATGTTTTATCTTTTGATTTGATTAATGGAAATGTGTAATGGCATCTCCTAATTACTAGAATTTAACTTGATAAAACATTACTTATGTTTTCTGATAAAATTTATTAGGCAAACTATGTGTTGTGAATGGATGATTTTTCAACACTTTTTTGGTATACACATGTGTAATGTTTGAAAATCTGACTAACAAATCACATTCCCTGTTTCATTGTGATCCAATGATTATTTAAGTGGATATGTAGGTGACTAAAGTTGCATATTTAGTAAAACGATTTTCTGTGTCGTGTCATTTTTCACCTCTAGATTCAGGCAGATAAATTTGGAATAAAACTGCGTAGTAATCCAGCAGCTACTGGTACCACGGGTTAGAAAAACGCATCGTAATTCAGAATTTTAGCTGTAGAAATAACGATGCTCTGGAAGATTAACAGATCAGTTGCTGGCGTGCAGACACACGTTGCTGATGGCAATTATACCTGTAGCCCGGGACTCGGTGTTGTGCTAACTAAAAACTTCAGATGACTCTCACGAGACCAGGTGGATCACGTGCTGTTAAATTGTACGTTTCCGTGTCAGGTATACGATGAAGGCTCGACAGGTGTATTCAACCCGTACTTGTGTCCCTGGGCTATAACAAACACAGCAACGACATGCTTCCATTTTCGAACCATTTATTAAGTGTTCGTTCTTGTTTTGTTAGTATTGATTGGTAAACTAGGTTTTTTTTTGGTTCTCGTCGTAAGTTGTTTATAGTTAGTACAGGTGATTCAGTAAGTTTGAAAAAATGAGTGAGGAAGCTCTTACTGATCCCCTTTCCCTGTTACTTGCTTCTCTTCAATCTAGGGGTCGTCTCTACGAGTTATTTGGACAGATCGAGAAGGAGTTTGAAGCATTGTACGCAGAAAACCTCACCCGTAAGTATTTTGGATACAAGATATTTTCATCGCAATTATTCAGATAAGAATACACAATTAATTAGGATTAGGCCAAGAAATATAAAAGTCGTCAGTTGTAGTTTAGTTTATAGATAGAATACAATATACATGTGTATATTCAGTGTGGTCAAAATGTGTATATGTGTTTGTGTATATATACACACATTAACTGTAACAGTCTTTTGTTTTATGTCAGACTTTAAAGTAATATCTTAGATTATTCATTTGTTCATTTTTCCGGCATCTATCGTAAAACATTTTTAATACAACACGCAAGTTCGGGAAATGTTATGATAAATTCCTCTTGCAACAGCTAAAATGACGCCCGAAATACATATCAGTTCCGTTCACTATATATATATGTATATATACAGAAAACAGTCTTGTTGGTGAAGGATACAGATGCGCAAGTTCTATCATAGACTACAGTGCAGTGAATGTTTATCTTTATTGTAATAAGTAATACGAACTAAGTAATTATTTTATCATCGTTTGAAATATGTTGTATGCTACGATAGTTCGTTATAAAAATAATTCGTAATATAGGTAGTTATTATTATTGTTATAAACGCGAAACTTGAAATAAAACACGATATAACCTAACTTTTCTTTGTGATAGACATGGCTAAAAATGGTGGATTCAAACCTTATTGAATGTAATTAAAATTTGTTGCCGATTTGTTTAATTTAATCCGATCTGCATCCTGTTATTTCCTCCTCATCTCTACGGTACAACTTTGTTTATAGTTTATAATATCTAGTATCAGTAATACATTACACGTGTGTATTAAGAATTGTAACCAACTTCAAATTTTTAGGTACTGTATTTGTAAATTCTGCAGTGGTGGGAAGAGCACAGATAGCTCAATGTGTAACTTTGTGCTTAACTTCAAAAACAGACGGGTAGCAAGTTTGAAAAGTCCGTGGCAAAAGGCAAATTTTTGTATGTGTGTGTGTCGGGGTGTCTTCTCCCCTCTACCTGCTAACTCTTACAGTAAATTTCATACATACAAACAATTCCTAATAATGCTAATGGAAATTTGTATTGATTAATATTATCATTACACACGCTCAATCATTAGCTGTTCGAAACGACTTGCTAATATATATATATATATATATATA